GGCGTTCGGGTGCGAGGCGTTCGGGTGCGGCGTGTTCAGGGGAGGTTTCCCTCCGCGAGGCGTTCGGGTGCGGCGTGTTCAGGGGAGGTTTCCCTCCGCGAGGCGTTCGGGTGCGAGGCGTTCGGGTGCGAGGCGTTCGGGTGCGGCGTGTTCAGGGGAGGTTTCCCTCGAGGCGTTCGGGTGCGAGGCGTTCGGGTGCGGCGTGTTCAGGGGAGGTTTCCCTCCGCGAGGCGTGCGGGTGCGGCGTGTTCAGGGGAGGTTTCCCTCCGCGAGGCGTTCGGGTGCAGCATGTAACTTCCCAGTCTGTGTGAACTGAGGAATGTCGGAGGACAAAGCGTCCGCTGTCCGTCCCCCGCCTCGCTGACCCCCGCCCCCCCTCCCTGTGAGACAGCAGGCCGAGGGGATTCCCACGCAGAGCTGCAGGGGTCCTGACCCGGTTTAACTGGGAACACTGGGAGGGTCTGAGTCCGTGATGAGGTCATTGATCTCTGGGGGGGAATTTATATGTTAATCGGACCTTTAACAACCAGTTTAAACTGGAATCATACTGGTTCTGCTGACTGGTTCAGTCTGCACAGTTTTACTGGGTTTATACTGGTTCTACTGGTTCTAATGGTTCTGGTTCAAACTGGGTTTATTCTGGTTCTGATTCTGGGCTTTACTGGAAACGACCGGGCCTTTCCACCAGTATGAACTGGACTGGGTCAGTGCTGGGACTGTACGGTTATACTGGGAGTGGTGGATTTTTAACTCCTTTGAGTTTCACAACAAACTTAACTGGGAATACTGGAAATAATCCTCCTGTTGCACCAGTTTATACTGGGATCAATGCTGGAGCTGAAGCTGGAGTTATACTGGGGGAGTCACTGGTTTTACACCAGTTTCATGAACATCTTCCTGCTGGAAGTGTTCAGGTTTTAAACTGGTTTTAAAGTGGCTTCCAGCTGACTTCATACTGGGAATACGGCTTCATGTGTCACTGGTTTTAATGGTCGGGTCAGACTGCTTACTGGTTTTACTGGTTTTAATGGGCGGCTCAGACTGGTCCCTGGTTGAAAGCAGAAATGTTTTCTGGTTCCTGCTGGTTTGTTTTGGTTTTTACTGGTTTAACTGGTTTAATTGGAGCGTTTTGGAGTTCAGGCTGAATGGAAACCAGAACTGAACCTTCCTCTTCCTCCTCCTCTTCCTCCTGTCTGCAGCGGCTCGGTCTAATTACAGTGTCTGACCGTCTGACTGTCCCTCCACAAACACTCTTCCTCCTCCTCCTCTTCATCGCCGTCCTCTGAGGAAAACATCTGGGAATCTGTTGAGTTTAAATCCTTTAGCGTGAAGAATCTGAATCATGAATTCTGAATCTGGAGCTAAATTAATGAAAGAATCTGAGATTTAAACCAGTTTTCTGATCCCAGTTTGTTTTGTGTTCACACATCAATCCGGTTTGGGAATCTAAACCTTTGCTCTGAAAAGATTCCCAGCTCCTGTGTGGAAATATCCCAAAGATCATCCACCATCTTTTCCTGTGACTGGGTGAACTGGATCTCCAGAAATTAGACTAATCTGGAAGATTAAATCTTTAAATAGGACAGTAACGTTTTCCCAGGAGGAGAGAAAACTGGGACGACTCGCTCTGGGATCTTTGGGAAAACTTGGAAAGTTTCCGGATTAGTGTTAGAAACTTTAGCTTAATGGACGTTTTCTGTTTTGGACAGATTGATGCTTACTGCCCCCTGCAGGTGGGAGGACCTTCCTGCTTCTTTATGTCACATTTATTCAGCTTTAATAATAAACCCTGATGGGTTTGATCTGCTCCTCCTCTTCCTCCTGCTGTGGATGAAGACCCCATGGCTGCTTCAGTGCGGCTCAGTGATCTCAGTGTTCCTCTCTCATCCTGCTCCTGTCCCGTCTCCCCACTTCCTGCTGCTGCGCTCACCTTCAAAATAAAAGCATCCTGCAGTCTTAAGTCTTCAGAATAAAAGTCAGCTCAAAGATGAAACTTTTTCCACTTCAATCTGTATTTCTAACAAACTTAATTTAATAAGTTTTATTTGAAAAGAGGAATAAAATAAAACCACAAAATGAAGTTCCAAACAAATTATTTAAAAAATAACCTAATTATAATATAATAAACTCTGAGAACTTTTTAGATGTATTGAGATCTAATTAATCCAGATTTGTGTTTTAATCAGTTCATTAAGTCATAAATAAGAGTTTCTATCAGTAAAACAAGTTTTTCATGCAGAAACCATTAAAGAAACACAATAATCTCCACCTGGAGGTTCTGGGCTCTTATTGTGAAGGTCCAGCAGGTGGTGGGAGGTGCATTCTTGGTGCATAAAGGAGCGTTACCACAGATCCTTCCTCCCAGGACGCAACATCACGACTGTTCCCAACGAACTCAGTATTCTTTATAACTGTTATGATTCCGTTTTTAATGTTCCTGTAAATATTCTGCTTTTCAACTCGCATGAAAAAACATTTATTTATCCCAAAGAGAAACTGAATGTAGTAACTGAAGAGCCATGACTGTCCTGACATGCTAACCTCTGCCGGAGAGCTAGCAGGCTAGCTGTTAGCTAGCTCTGCTAATCCACCTCATTTGCTTTTGCTGCTGCTCTCAGCTCTCTGCTTGTTGGGTCTGAAATATGTTGAGTCGGATTTGATTCCTTCCTTCTCTCTGCTGCATCCATGACGCCTCATTTTCACCTCCTCTGGAATTTGGGGTCAAAGTTCAGGTGTTATTTGAGATTTCGAGATGCTAATCAGCCTCTTCCTGTTGTAAAAACAGTACCTTGTTGCCATGGTAGCGCATCACAGCAACCGTCTGAAAAGTAACGTAGGAACAGCAGAAATCCTCCGCTGACAGCCTGCCGGGCTCTTATTGTGAAGGTCTGTGCGGAAGTGAGTGTGCTGAATCGGAGGAGTCTCTCAGACTGAATGAATATGTCTCCGGCTCGGGACACGTCCGGACCTCGGTTCTGATGGACCTCGTAGGTGAGTCCCGTCCCGTTCGCCGCTCCGAGCCCGGTGCCTGGTCACCGGAGCGCGGGCAGCCTCTGTGGCCGGTTGCGGGGCTCTGTCCTCCGGCTGTCGGCTCTCTGAAACACCGCTGAAGTAGTTGGTGTCCGGCTGCAGGAACCTGCTGCTTCCAGCCCAACTGAGCCGGTACCGGTCAGGGGCGCAGCTAGTCGGAACTAGCACTTAACGATCCCGAACGGAACCGAACTCCAGGTGTAATCCGAGCTTCAGAACCAGAACCGCTGAGTTCGTGTTTGGTCCGTTAGGGAATCTGTTGAGATGAGTTTTCCAGGTTTGACCCAAAAATCCGACAGTAACTGGCTGAACAGGTCCGGTTCGGATTTATTCACACGGAGTTCAGTTGGAGTCAGAAAGTGATCCGGTCGGTTTGGTTTTGATAAATGTTTAATTTTCCCGGGATCCAAAACATCCCGATCCGGTTCCTGATGATCTTCATCCTGACCTGGTTCCATGTTGGCTTCTGCCACCTTGATTTGTTTTTCATGTCCCAGGTTTGTGTTGATTCGCCCCAAATTTATCCCGTTTCTCAACCAATTCAGTTTTATTCAGGTTTTATCCCAGTTTAAATCTGGTTCTGACCAAGTTTCATTTCGGCTGATGTAGATTTTTCTGTTTTAATTCAGGTTGTATTTTGTCTTCACCTTGATTTTATTCTAGTTGTGTCTCACTTTTATCCCATTTTCTTATCAGATTTTATTTTTTTTACTAATTATAGTAAAAATACATATACTATAGTACATATATGTATAAGTACAGACTGATTTTGTCTGTATTTTATCGTAGATTTATTCTGACTTCATCTGAGCCTTTTTCTGTTTTTAATCCCAGTTTTATCTCCATTCAAACTAAATTTAGTCCATATTTTTATTCTTTTTGTCACTGATTTATTTCCTTTGTGTGTGTGTGTGTGTGTGTGTGTGTGTGTGTGTGTGTGTGTGTGTGTTATCCCAGTTTAATTTGGGTTTTGATACCAGTTCACATCTAATTTTATTCAGGTTTCATCCAGTTTTATAACAGATGTTTTTTTTCCCTCTGATTCGTTTATCCTGAAAATAAATTCAGTTTTATTCTGACTTTTGCTCTGATTTTTATGGTTTTTTCTACTTGGATTCTATTGTTATCTTCATGGTTCCTGGTTTTATTCCATTGTGTTCGTATTCAGTCTGATGTTGATTTTCCTGATTCAGGTTTCATTGTGGTTCTGTTTGGTTCTGCTCTGTCTCGGTTTGATGCTGACCATCATTTGTTTCATAAATATCTTTGTTCTGTTGTGTGACACAGAATTTTGTCTCAGTTAAATTCTAGTTTTAATTCTCAGTTTTTGGTTTATCGAAGGCAGAATTTTATCCATTTTAAATAAAAAACTAAGTACGCTATGAAGGAAGTCCAAAAACTCTGAACCAGAATTAAAATGCTGACCCTGACCTCCTCCTCTGGTGGATCCAACAGAACCAGAACGTTTGGTACCAGAACCGAGTCTCTGGTGTTTAAACATCCTGACCAGCTGATTTAATTTGGTGATCCACTCTAACATCCTGACCAGATGATTTCTGGCCAGGTGAGTTTCAGAACCTGTTGTTGCTCTCAGTCAGGCGTGATGCTCACCTGTCAGCCAATCACAGCAGGGCTTTCATGATGTCATCTGCAGCAAGGCGTGTCTTGTCTGCAGGTCAGTTTGGGGTTAAACTGCGTGCTGCATTCAGGGCCGGTCATGTTAATTCAGCCACTCAGCTGACGGCTCTGATGCTGCAGCTGATCCAAGACCAGCAGTTCTGTCTCGGTTCTTCAGAAGTGGGTCGCGTTGTCCCACACGTCCCCCGGATCAGTCCGGTTCTCTCGGCGCTGTCTGTTGGGTCCGGCCCGACCCGACGGCTCTGTTAATGAATTCAGAGGAATGCCGGTGGAGGCAGAAGCAGAGCCGGTTCCCTTCAGTCAGAAGACATTCTTTGAATATTTGCTGTGAAAGCTGAGCTCTGTGACGATGAAGGACGAGTCGCAGAAGGAAGACGGCGTTTGGACCTGCTGATTGTTTCTTCTCTGGAGAATCCAGGAAGCAGGAAAGTTCACTGAGATTCATGAGGAACATCAGGGATGGAGAAACGGACCGCCACCATTTCAGATGGATTCCTCAGGAGCGCCTGACAAACACCTGAAAACCTCATGCAGGTGTTCTTCTGTTTCCCTCCAAGCAGCTTTTTAATTACATTGAAACATATCAAAATATCACATTTAGACAAGACATTTATCCTGACAACATTCATAAAGCAACATCAGTGCTGACACACGTCAGGTGCTAAGCTCATGTGCAGAACGTAGCCTGAAACATACCAAATATGACATGGTTAGCTTGCTATATTAGCAATAAATAGACCAAAAATAACTCGTCTTGTTTTCTAACATTACTGTGAAAATGCCAGAAACAAAATATTTAGCATACTGCGTTGGTCTGCCAGAGTTAGCTTGAAAAATACAAAATATAACTAAGATAATGTGTTACTAGTATAGGAAAGGCCAAAATTCATCCATCCATCCATCCATCCATCCATTTTCTTACACCCTTGTCCCCAGTGGGGTCAGGAGGTGCTGGTATGTCCAGCTAACGTGGCGGGTGAGAGGCGGGGTCACCTGGACAGGTTACCAGTCTGTCGCATGTGACAAAAATATTGAAAAAAAAAAAACAGTCATATAACATTTAGCAAACTGATGTTAGCGTACAAAGGTGGCACTGATACAGGATTTTTAGTTATCACTCCAACAAATAAACATTAGCATGCTAATGTCATCTTAATGTTGTAGACGATGCAGTTAGAATGCCTCTATTAGCATGCTAATGCTAACATCTCTGGCTAAGTCCTGGGATTTTCTCAGCTACAATAATTTCCTAAAAGCTTGAAAAATGTAATGTATTAATATAAACTGATTGGCAAGTATGTCCAGAAATATAAGCCACATTTTTAGCTGAAATGTTCATTAATATCTAAATCTTTTATGTCTCACTTTTGTCTTTGGTATTTTTATATGTGAAACAGTAAAATGTTCCGCCTTAATTTATTTTCCTTAATGATTCATTAGTCAGAGAAACCAAAGGGAAACTGAAGGAACCGTCTGGTTCTGCAGCGAGAAGCTTTCAGCCTCTCTGGAACAGTGAGGGCGGTTCAGAGTGTGAGGCTTCAGGTGTTCAGGTGCGTTCAGGTGTGTTCAGGTGCGTTCAGGGGCATTCAGGGGCGTTCAGGTGTGTTCAGGTGCGTTCAGGTGCGTTCAGGTACGTTCAGGTACGTTCAGGTGTGTTCAGGTGCGTTCAGGTGTGTTCAGGTGTGTTCAGGTGCGTTCAGGTGCGTTCAGGTGTTCAGGTGCGTTCAGAGGTGCGTTCAGGTGTTTAGGTGCGTTCAGGTGCGTTCAGGTGTTCAGGTGTGTTCAGGTGTTCAGGTGTGTTCAGGTGTGTTGCTGTGTGAGCTCCACCCAACGACTCAAAGGTTTCAGTCAGCAGCTGCTTCCTGTCTGAGGTCCTGAATGAACGATCAGGAGCGTCTCAGACATTCCCA